AAAAAAAAAAAAAAAAAAAAAAAAAAACACATCATAGTAAAATTAATACCTTCTCCGCTTCGCATCGAAGCTAAAATGACCGATTTTCTAGGAAGATTTTTTATTACTTTATTGGTTATTAGATCATTTCCTGGTGATTTTTCGTTCACAAGTTTTTTTATAATAGTATAAAATTCATTAGGAGTAGTTGGTTTCGCTGGTAAGGATAAAGGTAGTAGTGATTAAATGAATTCTGTTACTGTCTCGATATGATGCGCTGGTGGAGAAATAGAGTGTGGTTTAAAGACATTTGACAATTCTACGGCGAGGGTATCTGCTTTATCCTGATCTGTTTTAGCTAGTTTATTGTTATTACGCCGGAGAGGCGGTATTGATTCATTCATTCGAAGAATCGATTTTGTTTTTCTTCATAACGAGCCGTTCCTTTCTGAAAGATTTTGATGGTGTGTTTTATAAGAATTATTTTTATAAGAATTATAAAATCCTATATACTTTATTTAGTGTATATTCATATATTATATTTTTAAATCAAAGAAATACTAATTTGGATATCATTAAGGAAATAACATTTGATAATGTTTTTGTAATTGTGTACCAAATTCTTAGAGTTAAAAATTATATAAAGATTTGCATCGAAGCATTTCTTATGATAGTGAATTACTATCACTATTTTATTTGAATCACTGTCAGATATCATCTATATTTGTCCAAACTATGCTACATCCACATCGTGCTACGGTATTTTTATCAATGTATTTGTAACATATGTGTTACAAATATGTGTTACAACTAGACTTCTGCGATCACTAAGGAATGGACCAAACAAAACTGTCGAGGCAATACTACTGCCAGACGGAATGTTCACCAATAATGATAATGAAACATTATCACATTTGATGAATACACATTTTCCTGACTCTACAATTAACAACAGAGAACAGGAACATGACGCACAGGACAAACGTGTGACCTGTGCTGATTGGAGACTAACCAGGAGAGTGATAACCCCAAGTGGAATAAGATGGGCAATAAAAGCCTTTGGCAGTTTTAAAGCTGCAGGCTGTGACGAAATTTTCCCTGCACTTCTGCAAGAAGGGTTAGAGATAATCGTCCCCCATCTCTGCAAAATATTTAGGGCATGCCTTGCCTATGGTTATCAACCAGAAAGCTGGCGTAAGGTTAGGGTAGTGTTTATACCCAAACCTAACCGCACTAACTATTATGAAGCAAAATCCTACAGACCAATAAGTCTTACTTCTTTTCTTCTTAAGACTATGGAGAAACTTATTGATAGGTACATCAAGGAGGGGCCTCTTAAGGAGAACCCTTTACATGAAAACCAACATGCGTATCAAACGGGGAAATCTACTGATACAGCTCTACACTGCTTAACTACTAAGATAGGGAAAGCTGTAGAGAATAAAATGTATGCAGTAGGTATATTCCTGGACATCGAAGGGGCTTTTGACAATACTCCCTTCGATGCTATGTGTGAATCTGCACAACAGCGTGGAATAGAACCACTTATTATTAAGTGGATAGAATCCATGCTTAAGGAACGCTCCATTTTGGGACAGCTCAATGAGACCAAAGTAATCAAGAGTGTCAAACAGGGATGCCCACAAGGCGGGGTTCTATCCCCCTTGCTATGGTGTCTAGTATTGGACTCGCTTATTAGAGAGTTAAACAAATATTGTTATACACAAGCCTATGCGGATGACTTGGTTATAACAGTGGTGGGTAAATTCCCAGACACTATTATTGACTTAGCACAACAGAGACTTAACACTATACAGATATGGTGTAGTAAGTACGGTCTATCTGTTAATCCAAATAAAGCAGAGGTTGTTATGTTCACTAGAAAGAGAATAGGACTAGACAGCCTGGACACTCTTACTCTGAATGGACAAGAAATTAGCTTAAAATCAGAAGTAAAATACTTAGGTATTATCTTGGATAGTAAGCTAAAATGGAAATCACATGTTGAGTCAAGAATCAAAAAAGCAATGACCACATTGTGGACTTGCAGCAGAGCCTTGGGAAAGACATGGGGTCTTAAACCAAGAGTTATGTATTGGTTGTACACGTCAGTGATTAAACCTATCATATTGTAAGGTGCCCTGGTCTGGTGGACCAGAACAGCACTCATTACAGCTAGGAAAGAACTTAGTCGCATACAGAGAATGGCTGCTATTGCCATCACTGGAGCATTAAGAACTACACCAACGGTCGCATTAGAGGCATTAATTGAATTGCCTCCTCTGCATCTAGAGGTGAAAGCTCACGCCAAAGCTACAGCACTAAGATTCCACAACTTAGGTATGTGGACTTTGGAGAGTGATACAACAGAACATGGTAAAATACTAAAAGAGATAGACAAGGGCTTTTTAGAATACCCCTTGGACTATATCAAACCGNTTATTTTTTTTATATTTCAACAGAACATTAATTAGGACATCCATTTTTAGTAGCATAGTTAATTATATCAGTATATCCCTTTCGAGTAGCTTCAGAAATGGTACCGCTACTCCATGAACAATTATTTTCATAAGCATATTTTAAGCAACGAAATTGACCATTTGCAGCAGCAAGTCTTGTTGTGCCTTCGTCCCACTCACCATCATTTTCATAAATATATTTTAGGCAGTCTAAATTGCCGTTTGCAGCAGCTCCACTCATAGTACCTTCATCCCATTTACAACCATTATTATGTGCAAATATCAAACAGTTAATATAATTATTCGCAGCTGCTTCCCTTGTTGTGCCTTCATCCCACATACATCCATTTTCATGAGCATATTTTAGACAGTTTAACTGTCCATTTGCTGCAGCCCCTCTCATTGTACCTTCCACCCAATCACATCCATGTTTACGGGCATATATTAGACAATCTAAATTCCCATGCAATGCTGCTGCCACTATTGTATCTTTGTCAAAATTACATCCCTTCTCATGAGCATATTTCAAGAAGTCCAAAAAGCCACTCGCTGCAGCAGCTCGAGTTGTGCCTTCATACCATTTACAGCCATTTTCATAAGCATATTTTAAACATTCTAAATTACCGCTAAAAACAGCTGCTTCTATTGTGCTTTCATTCCAGGGACATTCATTTTCATGGCCATATTTTAACATATTTAAATCATCTCTTTTGGCAGCTGCTGTAGTTGTACGTTCATCCCATTTACAGCCATTTTCATAAGCATACTTTAAACATTCTAGATTACCGCTAGAAGCAGCAGCTTCAGTTGTGCTTTCATCCCACGGACATTCATTTTCATGGGCATATTTTAATATTTTTAAATCACCTATTCTAGCAGCCGCAGTAGGTGTACGTTTATCCCATTTACAGCCATTTTTATAAGCATATTTTAAACATTCTAAATTACCGCTAAAAGCAGCAGCTTCAGTTGTGCTTTCATCCCATGGACATTCATTTTCATGGGCATATTTTAATATTTTTAAATCACCTATTCTAGCAGCCGCAGTAGTTGTACGTTTATCCCATTTACAGCCATTTTCATAAGCATACTTTAAACATTCTAAATTACAATTAGAAGCAGCTGCTTCTGTTGTGCTTTCATCCCACGGACATTCATTTTCATGGGCATATTTTAATATTTTTAAATCATCTCTTTTGGCAGCTGCTGTAGTTGTACGTTTATCCCATTTACAGCCATTTTCATAAGCATACTTTAAACATTCTAAATTACCGCTAGAAGCAGCAGCTTCAGTTGTGCTTTCATCCCACGGACATTCATTTTCATGGGCATATTTTAACAATTTTATATCACCTCTTCTGGCTGCTGCAGTAGTTGTACGTTCATCGCATTCACAACCATTTTCAAAAGCATATTGTAAGCATTCTAAATTACCGCTAGAAGCAGCAGCTTCAGTTGTGCTTTCATCCCACCGACATTCATTTTCATGGGCATATTTTAATATTTTTAAATCACCTATTCTAGCAGCCGCAGTAAGTGTACGTTCATCCCATTTACAGCCATTTTCATAAGCATACTTTAAACATTCTAGATTACCGCTAGAAGCTGCAGCTTCAGTTGTGCTTTCATCCCACGGACATTCATTTTCATGGGCATATTTTAATATTTTTAAATCACCTATTCTAGCAGCCGCAGTAGGTGTACGTTTATCCCATTTACAGCCATTTTTATAAGCATATTTTAAACATTCTAAATTACCGCTAAAAGCAGCAGCTTCAGTTGTGCTTTCATCCCATGGACATTCATTTTCATGGGCATATTTTAATATTTTTAAATCACCTATTCTAGCAGCCGCAGTAGGTGTACGTTTATCCCATTTACAGCCATTTTTATAAGCATATTTTAAACATTCTAAATTACCGCTAAAAGCAGCAGCTTCAGTTGTGCTTTCATCCCATGGACATTCATTTTCATGGGCATATTTTAATATTTTTAAATCACCTATTCTAGCAGCCGCAGTAGGTGTACGTTTATCCCATTTACAGCCATTTTTATAAGCATATTTTAAACATTCTAAATTACCGCTAAAAGCAGCAGCTTCAGTTGTGCTTTCATCCCATGGACATTCATTTTCATGGGCATATTTTAATATTTTTAAATCACCTATTCTAGCAGCCGCAGTAGGTGTACGTTTATCCCATTTACAGCCATTTTTATAAGCATATTTTAAACATTCTAAATTACCGCTAAAAGCAGCAGCTTCAGTTGTGCTTTCATCCCATGGACATTCATTTTCATGGGCATATTTTAATATTTTTAAATCACCTATTCTAGCAGCCGCAGTAGGTGTACGTTTATCCCATTTACAGCCATTTTTATAAGCATATTTTAAACATTCTAAATTACCGCTAAAAGCAGCAGCTTCAGTTGTGCTTTCATCCCATGGACATTCATTTTCATGGGCATATTTTAATATTTTTAAATCACCTATTCTAGCAGCCGCAGTAGGTGTACGTTTATCCCATTTACAGCCATTTTTATAAGCATACTTTAAACATTCTAAATTACCAGTAGAAGCTGCTCTTTCTGTTGTGCTTTCATCCCACGGACATTCATTTTCATGGGCATATTTTAATATTTTTAAATCACCTATTCTAGCAGCCGCAGTAGGTGTACGTTTATCCCATTTACAGCCATTTTTATAAGCATATTTTAAACATTCTAAATTACCAGTAGAAGCTGCTCTTTCTGTTGTGCTTTCATCCCACGGACATTCATTTTCATGGGCATATTTTAATATTTTTAAATCACCTATTCTAGCAGCCGCAGTAGCTGTACGTTTACCCCATTTACAGCCTTTTTCATAAGCATATTTTAAGCACTCAAAATGACCCATAGAAGCAGCTGCTTCTGTTGTTTTATTATGCCATGGACATTTGTTATCATATGCATATTTTAAAATATTTAAATTACCAATTAAGGCAGCCGTAGCTGTTGTACGTTTATGCCATTTACAGCCATTTTCAAAAGCATATTTTAAACATTCTAAATTACTACTTAAAGTAGCTGCATCTATAGTGTTTTCATTCCAAGGACAATTATTTTCATGTGCATACTTTAACATATTTAAATCACCTCTTCTGGCAGCCTCAGTAGGTATACGTTCATCCCATTTACAGCCATTTTCAAAAGCATATTTTAAACATTCTAAATGTCCGGTAGAAGCAGCAGCTTCTGTTGTGCTTTCATCCCACGGACATTCATTTTCATGTGCATATTTTAAAATACTTAAATTACCATGAATGGCAGCCTCATAAGTTATTCTTTTATCCCATGGACATCCTTTTTTATGTAAATATTTTAAATTTTCTAGATTACCATTTATGGCAGCATTATAAGTTGTGTTTTCATTACACGGATGTCCATTTTTAAGGACATATTTTAAAATGTCTAGATTACCTGCTGCAGCAAAGTTAGTTGTGCATTCATCGAATTTATGTCCAGCCTTGTGAATATATTTTAATAGTTCTAGATTACCTCTAAAAATAGCAATTCTGCTAATTTTGGATTGATCCCATGGACAATCGTTTTCAATAGCATATTTAAAGCATTCTAATTTGCCGATAGAAGCAGCGGTTTCTGTTGTGCTTTCATCCCACGGACATTCATTTTCATGTGCATATTTTAAAATGTTTAAATTGCCACTTATGACAGCCCCATAAGTTGTGCTTTCATCCCAAGGACATCTATTCTCATGTAAATATTTTAAATTTTCTAGATTGCCATTTATGGCAGCACTATAAGTTGTGTTTTCAGTACACGAATATCCATTTTTAAGGATATATTTTAAAATTTCTATATTACTCGCTGGAGCTATACTAGTTGTATATTCATCAAATTCGTATCCATTTTTGTGAACATATTTTAATATTTCTAGATTGTTCTTTCTTATCGCATTTGTCGCAATATTGAATTGATTCCATTTACAACCATTTTCATAAGCATATTTTAAACATTCTAAATGACCATTATTTGCAGCAGCTTCTGTTGTTCCTTCGTCCCATTTACATCCATTTTCAAAAGCATATTTTAACAATTCTAAGTTTCCATTTTCTGCAGCTACTCTTGTCGTATCTTCTTTTAATTCCCATTTTTGTTCATTATTTGAATTTTTATATTGAATTGCTAAAAGAAAAAAATATTGATTAATTTTCGTCGTATTAAAACTTTATTTTGATTACTTAAAAAACATTAAAATAAGAAATATCTTTTAGGTCATCGAAAAGTTAAAATTGGGACTTGATTTTTTTCGTCATTAGGCTTTAGTCATGTTTTTAATTTTTTACTAGTAATAGTTATAATAAATTAATATATTGCTATTGAAAAAAAAAAAATTATATATATTTTGAGTAATAAAATATAATTGTATCACTTTTGTAGTTAAAAACTAAAAAATAATCTCAATGTGATAGTATTTTAAGTATGTGTGTCTCTTAATCGATTTATTTATGTTAATAGAATTATTTTTTATAGGATAAGTGTATATTAGATGCATACAGCTGAGTACAAAAAGTTAAAATAAAAATGTTTGATATACTATAAAGATAAAATATTTAAAATTTAAATAATTTCATTGAAACACGCTGGATGCAACTTTATTAAATTTTATTTTAGTAGAATAAATTTACTTTATTTATAAATTTTATTGAAATAAAGTTTTATTTAAATAATTATGTATTTTTTTTTTACAATAATTTAATTTAAAATAATTTGAATAATAATGTATTTGGATAATTTTGAATAGTTTAATTCAAACTAAATAAATCTATTAAACTTAATTGAAAATTAAAAAATTTAGTTGGTATTATATTTTGTGTTATATTTCACAAATTATCTATTTTAATATACTTTTGATCGAAAAATCTTTAATTCTGAAAATATATTCTAATAATAATGATGGAAAATTATTTAAATTGATTTTTCTTCTTAAAATATAAATAAATGATACGAATGATTTTTTATTCAATTAAATATTTATTCATATAGTTATTTACATGAAATTTCGTGTAACTATAAATGGTAATTTGTATAAGATTATTGTTAAATGTGTGGTTGTTCTGGTAACTATAATATGTAAATACAACTTTGTATATATTCTTGCTTTTCTATTTTAACAAAATTAAATGATGATAAAATAAAGCACAAAAACATGATCTTAATTATAGAAAATGTAGATTTATTTAAAATAAAAGCCGCATCACAGAGGAGTTGCAAAATAGTGGAGACTCGCTATAGTTGGACAAATATAAATAATAATCAAAAATATAAATGTGTTGTATTTTATAAAAGAATTTTGTTATCTTTTTGTTCATAGGCATAATTTGACCTTATGTCTTAGACGAGGTCAAAAAATGTTCAATCGAATTTTCAATGACTTTTGTGTTGTGCACTAGTGAAACTAAGAGAACTTGATCTGCAGTTTGAGAAGAATATTTAAAAAAGAAATTAAATTTATAATTTCAAATCTTTTTTTACTTAATTATCTTGCCATTCAAAGACCATAATGTTCTGTTATACAATGTCCATAAGGTAGAACCTATTAGTTTTTGTCTAAAATTTGTTATTAAAAAATAATCGAAAAAATGTAATTAGAGTGCATTGTAAAATATTTGATTACTATTTATGTTTAATCAGTTATATTTTTACAATGCCACTTATAGTTGGTATAATCATTTAAATTGATAAAATAAGAGAATTATCTATTTGAAATAAAATTTTTATTTAATATCCTTAATCTGTTTTACAGTTCTTCGACGTCATTTCCGATCTGTTACTCCTTTTTATGTTCCTTTCGCCCCCACTAATTTCCTTAAAAATGAACCTATTATACGTATGATGTCAAATGCCAACGTTGACCCTTCATTTCTTCTATGTCTATAATTAACTAAATAGCTGTTAATTTATTATCATATTTGTACAATTAATGTATAACTTATATGTATAATGTGTATATATGTTCAAAGGGTTTATCCCGTATATTTAATAAAAATAAAATAAAATAAAATATATTATGTTTTAAATCGTTAAGCAGTTCTTAACTCCCTCTATTATTGATTAGGATTTTTTTCTTATTATTGACATTACTATTATTATTATTATTATTATTATTATTAGGTATATTTAATTTTCTTACATTATAATAGTATAAGTATAACGATTTTGTGTCATTATTCCTGTAGAACAATGACTGGTCAAGTTATTACGATTACTATCAGAAAAGGGTACTAAATCCATTAATTTATTGTTACATTTCATTTTAAACTAAATTATTTGTTTATTTAGAAATGAAAATTTTTGATATTCAAAAAAATGTCAATTAAGATCTGAATATTTCCTTGCAGTAAATTTTTATACACCAAGAATTACCCTTAAATGATTTATTACGATTAAATATAAAATAAAAAATATTGATTTTAACAAAATGTTGAGATTTTTTCGTAAATTTACTGTATATTGTAATTATAATTATTCTCGACCACACGTTATTATAAACAAAACCATTTTTTTTGATTCTCATAAAATTTTCTATTTAATTATGTTAATTTAAAACTTGCAAGATGAACTATTTCATAATAATCACTTTATTACATTACGATATTTCAAATTAACAATTTGCATGGATTATTGTAAGCCTATTATAAACTTAAACAAATAATAATTTAAAAAATAATTGTTTTTAATTAATATTTTAAAAGTCAAAACTTGTTATTTATTATCTCAAAAACTAGAGACGATAGGAAAAATCTACTTGCATATTTTAAATAATTGCATAAATTTGGTTTAGTAAAGAATATTTTGATCTTCGATTATTAAAAAATGTTTCATTTTGTATACCACTTGTGTTTTTTCTGTGTAATTCAGTATAAAAATGAATTACTAGTATTTAACTAAAAAATACTAGTATTATTTATGATAATATGATATATACTGTATTGAAATATCAATAGGATCGATGTTTTTAATAAGATGTTATAGCAGTTTTAAGATGTTTAAAATTTAAGACTTTTTCCAATTTTGGTAACAGTGTGTTCAACAAGATAATAATAGGATTTTTTGACATATTGATTAGTAAAATTTGTAAAGTGAGGATTATTATGAACAAACAAAAAAAACGCACTCCATCAAAAGATAAATACTTTCTCAACTTGGCATCGAAACTAAATATAGCTATTATAAAAATTGATTATAATTGCAAAAATCCTTTTTTAAATTCAGTTAATACCCAAAATCATGATTTTAAAAATCATATAAACAATAACGTGTTACTAAGAAATTCGAATAGCATAAAATGATAGTAGACCAAACAAATAGAGTTAAAAAATGAATAAATAACAAATTGAAATTTTTAACTTTGTAGTTGAAAGCTACTATCAAATGATGTACGATAATAATATGATATATAATAGAATCATAAATGTTACAATGTTTACTTTAATAACATTCTTCTTCTTCTTTTTTCTCGACTCGATCCCAAATACGACCACCCTTTCCAAAAACTTCCACTTGACACGATCTCCCACTACATCTACGCACACATCAGCCGTCCTCATATCGCAAACAATAACATTTCTCTATTACTTTTGTGATCTTCGTCTACCCCTCTTTCTTCAAAATTCATTTTTATAATTGTTCTAACAGCTTCCGATTCTTCTCTTCTCATAACATGACAAAAACATCTATGACTATTTTCTCTCATTCTATCCATGCTTGACGCTACAACTATATTCAATCTTATATGTTCGTCATTATTTGTCACTCCATTCATCCATCTAAGCCTTTTTCTCTCTTCTACCGCCTTTATAAACTTTTTTCTTTTTCATCTTTCAATTTTTACCATGGGATTTTCGATTCTCCTTCTGTGTTCTTTCTGTTTTTGTATATTCTCTTCCCGCAGCTTCATTACATCAGTCTATATTGTGAAATTACACTCTTGCTTGGGATAACTTAACAATCTTTTACTCACTTTACACTCTCTCTCTTCCACATCAAATAATTAATCTGTGATCTATTACTTCCACTCTTATAAAGTATATACTGTGCTTACTTCTTTTAAAATAAGTATTAACCACAACAAGATTATACGATACTGCGAAATATAAGAAACATTTTCCAATCTCATTCTTCCCACTAAAACCATATCCTCCACATACTCTTTCATATCTTCTTCTCTTATTACCTATATGTCCATTCATATCTCCACCTATTACCGTATCCTCATTACCAGGTATTCTTTGCATAACCTTATCCATCTCTCTCCAAAACACTTCCTTGTCTATTTAATTACATCCTATTTGTAGTACTTACAACATTCAAAACATTTTCCTCGAAAATTAGTTTAGGACTATAATTCTGTCACTTTTCCTAGCTATTTCTAGTTCAATATATCAGAATCATTATTCTACACTCCGATTGCCTGCACTGTGGCAGAGATCAGACTGGCTAGTCGATAAATGGAGAGACACTTTGGAAAACGTTTACAATTAGTTGGAATATTAACTATAATGTTATTGTACTAGTACTCTGACCAGCCAAGTTGTGGTGCTTCAATAAGTAATAGAACACAATGCAATCTAGTCATGTATTTTTTTTAGTGTATTTATATATATATATATATATATATATATACAGGTTGGCCCAACACTCACTGACAACTTAAATAACTTTTGATCCAGTTAATATTTTTAGCTGATTTTTTTTTTAAATATTAGTTAGACGTTAGGTCTATAGCTATATCTCAATAATTAATTTTTTTACATTTTATTAAAAAAATTTATTATTTTAAAATTTTAAATAAAAAGTAAAAAAAAAATCTAAGATAGCTGTAGAGCAGAATTTAAGAAAAATTTTAGTAAAAAAATATCTTATTAATATTCAGTAGTAAATATTCTGTAGCGTTTTAAAGTTTGTGAAAATTTGAATTTTCATGTATTATTTTACAGTATTAAACATTGAAATACGTATTGAAAAAAGGACAGAAGAAAACGCTATCTTTTCATGATTACTATAATTTGGAGGTGTGTAACTTTTTCCATGAAAATGACTTATACTTTTGAATGAGAGTGATAAGTAATAATTGCCTTATCTAATTTCTTATCGTGGTATTAATGCCAAGTTTGTAATGTATA